GAGCTAATTCTACTTTACTGTAAGGCTACATTAACAGAATCTTGCAAGTCTGAAAGTACAACTCTCCCGCCGTCCCTATTTACCGCCTGATCAGTTAGGGCAGGTCCTTTCTGAGTTTCTTTCTGTGCAGCTGTGGGCTCTCCCCCTCTCTTATCTGATCATTTCCTAGGCAGCATCTCTCCTCCCCCCTCCATCTCCCAAGGTCATTCCCATATATCATTACAATATGGCAGTTGAAATCACACTTCAAACTGAAGATGCTTTTAACAAAATTATTTGGTTTAGTTGTTAAAAAGGGAGGTATTCTGGTATAGAAATACATTTTCAAGGTCATTTACAACAGACTGTCATTATGTGGCCTGATATTATAAACAGTATAACATTAATGTTCTTTTTTCTGCATTAATGCTATCCTCCCATTGTTTTTCTTCATTGATATTCTATGTATATATAAAATTAACAAGTCACCAGCAGATGTCACTATTTCTTTGTGAGAAGAAAAAGAAAGGAACAGGGAAAACAGGGAATAATTATTAGACACCATCAGAATTCCAAAAATTAAGAGTGTTTGCAAGCAAGTATTTCAGTACCTTGGACAGAACTAAAGAAACATACTATTTGTTCTGGGTCCTTTTAATGCTGAGTCCAATTGCACATCTACTCCTTATACCTGATTATATCTCTATGAAATTTGGAGCTTTAAAAGGCTAAAAGAGCATCATATTTTTATTTGGTAGTAATTGTGCGAGTTTCAAATTTCTTTTCAGGCAAAAGTGACCCAGAGTTTGAACAACAAACAAAAATAAATAAATCTGTAGGTATCAGCAGTATCCACTCAAGAGTTCTTAAGGACCTGAAATATGGATGATCTTTTCCCAAAAATATGCAACTTCTCTTTATTATCAGCATCTGTTCCTGGCAATTGGATAATAGCCAATGTGACCTTGATTTTTAAAAATGGATTGAGGAGTTTTAAAGAAAACTGTAAGCCAGTTAAATTTAACATCTGCTCTAAGGAAAATGGTTGAAACTACAGGTTAGTTATTAGTTTAGCACAATAAAAAAATACATAAAACAGATGTTATTAGAGTTGTAAAAGGTACAAAAAAGGGCAGCCAAAATGGTCAGTAATTGGAACAGCTTCCCTACAAGGAAACACTACAGCAGTTGGGGCTGTTTAATTTGGAAAAAGGAGGTGTAATAGAGCTATATAAAACTATACATGGCATAGAAAGGGTAACATGAAGACAGGTAAATTTTTCTCCCACTTACAGTGTTAGAATTCAAATTTATCCCCTGAAATTAAACATTGGGAGATTCAGGACTGATAGAAGGGAACATTTTTCCACAAGTAATTGAACTGTGGAATTTGCCACTGCTGCTGATGAAGATGGGGGCCAATTTGGATGGCTCTGAAAGGGAACTGGACAGATTTGTGGATGATCAGGCTATCAAGCACTACTAATTACTCTTCCTATCTGCTGAATCGCAGCCAGCATGCCTTGAAGGGCTGTTGGGAGACTTTGTGGAAGGGAGCCTTGTTTTCATCCCAGGCTTCCCAGATGAATCCTGTTGGCCACTGATCTGGATAGTCCTATGAGCTGATCCAGAAGGGCTCTTCTTAGGTTCTGAAACTCCATATTACTGAGTCTTACATGGAAAGTAAAACTGATCCACTGAAAATTATCCATTTTTATACACAGCATTTGTTGCAGTTTTAATTGAATTGCTTAAGCATATGCTCATTAGTTACATATTTAAATACGCAGACTGTAATAATATATACAATTGTTTTAAGATTTGTTTTCAAAAATCTATAATAAATACTTGCTGAATCAGATATATAGCCTATCTAACTCAATATCCTAGAATAGTCCATTATTGCTCCCAAGAAGCTCACAATAGAACATAATGGCAATAGCCCACTTTCAGTTTTGTCCCCAACAATTACTAGTTGGAGAAATATGACCTCTAAACATAGCTCTTTAATAGTGGCTAATAAGCACTGACAAACAGGTACCTACGTTTTTTTCTAAATCCACTCAGAATAACATTACCCAAGTAAAATTACAATACTTTACAAGATATTGTAAAAAAATTGCATGTACACTATTGCACAAGCTGGCCCAAAACATCTTGTTGCCTAAAAGAGAGGGGGGAAAACCACCTCCTTTCTATCTACAAAAGCTCATTCATCCATTGAACAGTGTTCTTCATTACAACTAAAGAGAGCAAGTTACCTAAACATGTGGCATACATTTATTAGAATCCAAACAAATTAGATCATATCACGAATAACAGCTTCTTCTCATGTTCTATCAGCAAAAATCAAAGTAGTAAATGGGATTAAAGACTAAGATAAAACCAGGTCATATTGTGGGCCTTTCTACTATTAAAATAGATTAATTTGAACTACTGTAGTTATTTTTTAAAAAAGCTATATTTTTAAAAATTCTCAAAATCCAGAAAGTACACCTGCAGAGTTATAGCAGAAGAAAAAAGAACTAGTTTTAGAGAAAAATAGCAAATAATTATTATAGAATGAAAGGCAAAATACAATCATATGTTTTTTCTATATAGATTATGTATTTTTTCTATACATATTATTTTAAATTTTGATTCCTTAAAATACAATCTCCTCATAGGGTCCAATTGCCGAAATATAAGTTGATAACTGTACAAGCTCCGTCTCTTTCTCCTTTGCCTCCTCCTTTTTCCCCACTGACATGCTCATGTTTTCCACTCAACAGGATTACTGTGGCTTCCTGTTGTCTGAATTAGCATAACTATGTTTGTATTACCATTTCTTTTGAAACAAAGATTACATGATAGCTACCTAAGTTTGATCAACACAATAAGTAATTTATTACTAATGATGAAAAGGAAGAGAGAATTCAGATTAATATAGGTAGAATACTATAATCTTTTCACTATGATGTAATAATTGAGCTCTGTATCTTTTAAACTGGACTTGATTTGCTTTTTTTTTTTTTTTTAAAGGTTCTGTTCCTTAGAATTTAATCAGGCTGAAATATGGTTACCAAATGCAATACTGTAGCCAAAACTCAAATCAAATCAATAATACAATTCTTTTATATGAGATAATTTGGATTTTCTCATCAAACAGAGAGAGCAAGCAATCCCAACTTACTTTTGTTCAAAGATACTGTTATGCATAATAGTGATTTAATACATTATGTGAACAGCAAGTGGAACTAAGTTTCAAATGTTTGCTTCCTTATGTACTTCTCTTTTATTTGATCTTGGTTTAACATTTTAAAGACTGCATTTTTTAGCAATTAAAATTCCAATTCATTCAAGTATGGCATTTTCTAATTTTCCATGATATGGTTGATTATCCCCCAAATAAACCAAGTATGCAGCGTAAAGAAGTGTTTCTAGATTTAACAAACTCATGCATTAAATTCTATTCTTGCAGATGGGAAAAAGCTATTAATATGATACCAAGGATTTTAAATATCCAGCTTGTGAAGTAAAATTAAAATGCTGTATCTGCATTATTGTAGAAATATGGATATCTCTGTAGTTTTCATCTTCTAAAGCCATTGTTCCAACAATGTGATGAAAGGACATCTTTGTAGCAAACAGCTCTGTAATGCTTTTTAAAATGACAAGTTACCTCTAGGTAACAGGCATAGAGTTATAAGAATCAGAAAGAGTCTTATACCTTTTAAGACTAACAACTTTTATCATAAGACATAAGCAGCCCCACACGTCTGATGGAATGAATCAGACTCTTTCTGATTTTTGTCTAAATAAGCTAACATGGCTCTCCTTCTACAATGTCTACAAGGAGATATTGAAACTAATCAAGCACTTGAAATGAGAGAAAACTTCAGTCTCTGCAGTACTTCTTTCAGGATACATTGTTCCTATCCTACAATTAATTCAGCAGTTTGTTGGAAACAGGCTACATTGAGGATGAATATAGTCTTTATGTCATGGCAATTATATGCACCTTTTCTTAAGACACTAAACTAATCTGTTCTTCATTTTACATACATACATACTATAGCTCTCCAAAATAAGCAGAGTCTTTCTTAGTCAAGAAAGTCCTAAATATTGTATATCACCGTTATGGAATATCTCTAATTATTGTATTCCTTGGGTTGCTGCCTATTGTTATACAGATTTTTCATTGAAAATGACTAATATATATTTTAGCTATATTTAGCCTAAAACTACTTCTCGTTCCTCATAAGAATTAGCATGCCAGGTATTGTAGATTAATGGTTATAATCCTTGGACAGAGGTACTTGACTATCAGACAGGGTTTTGGACTATCCAAAGTCCCAAAGATTCCATCCTACTGATCCAGACTCCAAACTTTACTAAGCCTATCCATGAGGCTCCCTGGAACAATGCGCTATTGGTATGTACCTATGTTTAGAGTTGTACAGTAGGGACTTAATATTGCTGAATATAAATTGGTGTTAGCAGCACCTTTAAACCATATTCCTGGTGGAATTAGAATTTCCTGAAATTAATTTAAGACACTGGTTTTAAATTTTAAAACTTCAAATAATCTAATGTCACAAAATTCAGAAACTGTATTTGTGTTTGTATGAAGGTCAAGAAGCCTGAATATTAATTTTCTGAGACCTTTAAATCAGCCATCAGACTTTGACATATGCATGAAAAAATTGAAATATAACTTTTTGGCAGAAATAAATAGAAATGAGTATTTTAGATTCTGCATCCAGCTTATAGAACGTTTTCCTAAAGAATGACAATTTCATTCTTCCATTTTTAGATGCTTTCTGAAAACAATTCTGCTTTAGTGAATATTCTTAGATTAAGAATTCTGAGTGTACCTTTCCATATATGCTATTTACCTTTATCATGATTTGCTTTGTTTTTATACTTGTAATCTAGCTTCAGTAGCTGTTAATGAAGAAAAGCAGGACAAAATAAAGGAAGGGAATTTAAAACCTACTCTTGAGCCTTTCTCAGGAGAGCACTGACAAATGGAACAATCTTCTCCACCACAGCGTCCAATATATGTACCCTAAGAAGAAATAAAAGTTATTGCTGTTTTTATCCCATTTCAAATCTGTTTGGCAGCCTCAGATAAATGTGTATGGAAGCTTAAAGATGCTTAATCATAAATATGGTTATTAAAAAAAACTGCCTACAACTGCATATGAAAAAATAATGGGTCAGATATAAATTGATCATAATATTAAAAGGTCTTTAGCTAGCTAAGCTTATAGAACCACTAAACACACACACACACACACACATATATATATATGCATATAAAATTAACACAATAGGACTATCTTTAGACAGCTGAAGTCAAGAAGGGGCTATAACAGATTTTTTTTAAAAAAGAAGCAAAAGGAACAAAGAGTTTTTTAAAAAACCATAAAATCAGGGAATTAGCTAAGGATGATTATGGATTTTTTAAAGGTTCAGTCATAACAGAAACACACACAAAAATAATAGCTCTTGGAGGAGGCACAAGAGATAGGAACCAATCAGTGATGACATGAAGTTCAAGAAAATGCATTATTTTAAGCAAAAGAGGGTACGTGTGAGATCTATAAAAGATAGCAATCAAGAGTCTAGAAATTGTCCTTGAGATGCTAGAAGCAGAACCTGCTACTTTGTGGGTAACACAATTCCCTAACCAGAAACCAAACAAGAAAATATCAAGATATTATTTGGAGCTCTGAAATTTTCTGAGTCAAAGGTTTACTTCAACATTTTACAGGAAGAGAAACATTTATCTTACAAAATGTGGCACTTTTATGGACCTAAATTGATTCTTATATGATACTGGGGAAGGGATGACCTTTTAAAAGACTTTTTAGGCAAACAGTAAAAATTTCAAGCTGATAAAATGGAATATTATCATATGTTGGGGGTCACAGTATCAGATGCCTAAGCAACACTGTATAGTTTACATCAACACTTACTGTATTAGCAGAAATATGTACAATAAGTATAATATACATATAATGTGTCAACTAATCTACAAAATTTGCTAATTTCATATGTGTATCACTGCCACACAATATATGTAAACAAAAATTATGTGCATTTATTGGTGATACAATGTATTTTGCATTCTTGAATTACCTGACTTTTGTATCTCACTATAATTTTAAGTCTATGCCTATTACCAAAGAGGTTTGTATTTTCATGGTTTCATTTCTTCACAGTTTTCTCATTAAATGGATTGACCATTTTTCCTTATCCAAAATATTTCCAAAACATTTTGTTCTCTTGATCTTTAGTGGATGCATACATAGTCACACAAAGAATGATTTCACCCATTTTATTCTGAGGCAAGATTCCAAGGGAAATATTAATCTGTCTATTGCTTGCTTCTTTGGCGTTTTAGATGTATGCTTCTATGGCAGTGTTAAAAAGATTCTGGGGCTTTCTCCTCCTAATTAAAACAACATTTTATTATCATTCTAGGAAAACTATTTTTCAGTGTTTAACCTTACACTGAAGATTAAAATACTAAAATAGTCAAAACATAGATTAATCACAAAAATTTTGACTATTTTTCATTTAGCAATTTACAGCTCCCAAAGAAAACTACCAGTTATTTTGTGGAACCATCAGGTTCCTTGCAAGCTGACCTTGAGTTCCTTAGCGGAAGGTGTGTAATAATAAATGAACTACATTTTTGAGCTTCCCCTGCAGGGAACGTCTGGTTTTTGTTCCACTCTTAGTTCTCTTAAGATGCCACCAGCAGCTAAAACTTGGCTCAGAATTTCCTGAAATGTTGGTGGCATTTTGTGGCAATTAGGCAGGAATTCTCCTGCTTATGAATAAGTGGGCAAAGCCTTCCCAAAGAGAGAAAGCTTGCTTAAAATAATAAAAGAGCTAACCTTATTACTTGCATGACCTTTGTGAAGTATATAAAGTATAGAAGTGCTTAGGTTTTCAAGATGAAGCTATTTTAAGCCTGAAATCATACAATCAGTAAATGTTTTCTAAAAACAAAATTATGAATAGTTTGTCCATAACAATATAATGGGCATTGCATAGAGAAAACAGAATTTAAGGCTGTTATTAGTCTGCTCTGGAAGGTTAGAGTCAGACCAGATGCCTATGAGCTGTTTTTTTTATTAAGTCTTAACTTCCAGTATCCTGCAGTTTCATTGGAGCCTGCCATATCTGTCCTGATATTTAATTGTAAAGAACATCATATACGCTTTACTAAACATGCTATTGAAGTAATTCCCACTTTAATTATATTCAAGGCAGAAATGCATATTTAGCTTTACAGCAAAAATTACTACTTAAAAGGTAGTCCCACTATATGCAGTAACAAGTAAATGTAAATTTGCTAGCTAATTTGACTAATTACACCAATCAGTCTGTCCAAGCATGCAACTTTGTTTCCTAATAGGTCAGGGCATTTTTACATTGATGTTATGCCAAATTATTTATTTATTACATTTATTATCCATTTTTTAAGACTTATCTCAAAGATTTTGGTTATTGATTCAAAAATACATTTGTAACATGTACATGAATAAAAGAAGAAACCTTTTTTATTTGAATCACTTACCCCATAAGCTGGCTGGATTGAAGGAACAATTATTAGCCACCTAATCCATAGGAAGACATAGGTTAATTTATGGTAATCAGCCTCCAATTGATGTAACATAAGAAAAAATTGTTAGGATTTCTTTTTTCTTTTTCTAACTCAGTGGGTCAGTTTGCATCATACACAGTCTAAGAACTGATGGTTAAAAAGTGATTCTGTGTGTCAGACTCAGCCACTATGATTATTTGATATCACATGGATCTTAAAAATAGAGTAAATTAAATAAGTATGGTTAACTATGGGTTAGAATATTGGGCAAATATGCCCCTTTCCTCTCGAGCTATAAAGCTATTAAGATTTTATATTAAATCTTAATAGTGAACACAAGAACATATTTGCAGAGTTAATACTACCTTCTTGTAACAACATACATATCCCAAGTACAAGTAGATAATTACCATTCAGTACAGTATCCATAATGACAATCTTTGTCCTAATCCATAGTTAATTTCACATGGTTTATATAATGGAGAATTTTATAGGCATGCCCTTATTGAATGCTCCCCTTTACTGTGTATAATACATTATCCCACTGTTAACTGGACCCTGTTTTGAGACTCCTGTAACACATTGCTCACACAGGACAGTTTTGTACATTATTCTAGGCTAAATTATGGTTAGCTGGTTTGTGCTTCAGCAAGATAAGTAAACCTAGCCTATATGACTACAAGTGCTAAAGGAAAACCAGGGAATATTAGCTTTTAACTATCTTTTCTGCCATCCTATTTTGCCACCAGGAAATGTGATGTTATATAATTTGTTATTATTTTTTTTTACTGTTTCATCAGATAATCCCTATTACTAACCCAATTACGGTTAGTATAGACTTTGCTCTAGAAAAGAAAAATAGGCATCTTGGCCATGGAATAGAGCTTTCCCACCTCATCCTTCTCCCTGAAACCTTCTATGGCTGACTAAAAGCAAATGGGGGTTTGTAAGATCCTCATGAATTATATCGGGTGGGACATGGGGGAGTCAGCTGAAGGATATCCCAGTACAAATCAGGGGCACCTCCCTTTGTGCGTGTTGCAGTGCCTTCTCTCTGTACTAGAGGATTCTTGAAACCTTTACTTTTTCTTATTTCCATTAATTTTCCATACTGCCTTTTCCTACCCAGGGATAGATACAAATGGTCACAGATTACGGGAAATGAACTCCAACACTTCTGGAGGGCACCAGGTTCTCTACCTCTGCATTGTGCCATACCATTCAACACAAACATATTGCTCATGATACTTTAAAGTTTTTAGGGCAAGGATGGGCAACCTAAAAAAGAGATTCCCCCCAGTAGACAACCTCTCCCACCTACAAAATTTGGGTCCAAAGGGAAAGGATCTTGGAAATTAAGGGGTAGAAAGAGCTGAAGTTTCAGGGGAAACATGGGTAAATACTGGAATTAGAGAATTCCCTGTTCCTTTAGCTAACAAAATTAATTTTTGTACATTTGTGTCTATATTTTGCATTTTGCCAATATCTAGCAAATATATGGGGTAAATACCACAGGTAAGCCATTTCAAGTAGCAGCAATAAGATTAAAAACCAGCAGACTGAGCCTGTTCCTATTTTCCAGTTTGGAAGTTACTAATACATCTAGAAAAGAAAACATACCATGCACTTGTAATAAATTTAATCCAGTATAAACAATTCATTATGGATGTAGATCATATTAATACATTTGAATCCAGGCCTTCACTGTTTTAACTTTTAATAACCAGGACTTGACCCCACTACAGACACAGGTATGAAAACAATGTTCAGCATTCTTCTTGGTTTTGTGATCTGCTGAGAAAGAAAGTATGAAATTCCTTAATTTTATGCACAAACATTTTTAACATTACATAAGTTGAGATAGTTTGAAAATATTAGCACACTCTTTTGGAGTGAAATACTAATGCAAGTATGCATTCAATTAATTTTCTTCTGGTGCCATAGATCAAATGCTCTTGCTTTCTTCATTTATACATACATAACAAGCTTCCCAGCCTACAATTTTGATGCCATGTGACTTTGTTTTCAAAAGCAAAAATATAGCCAGACACACAATTCTCAAGTTTTTGTTTTTCAAAACACGCATGTCAGAAAAATCATTATAAATTTTAGAAGGCTTCAGAGAGCTGGGAATGCTCCTGTTATCTGTGATGAGAATTTACAGGCACCTAGATAAGACACCTGCAGATATGTCTTTGTTTCAGCTATTCTACTACTTGGGTTTGGGCTGTATCCTAATGAGGTAACCATAAAAGGAACTACCCTAGGCCCCATTTAGTTCTCCACTTTAATTTCAGAGCAGTGCAATTCAAGGAGCTTTATTTATGAGAATGAGTAAGAGAGATTTTCTGTTAACATAGCCAGCATGCAGAACTAGTTGCAAAAAAGGGTTTAGAAAAAGTGATGGTGATTGTCTAAAAGTGATGGTGAGAAGAATTATTATTGTTTAGGGTCTGTATAGCTGAAACTCAAAAATAATTCTAAGATTTTCAAGATTGAAATCCAAGTGACTGCCTTTAACAAGGTTAGCATGGGGGAACGTCTTCACCCAGGTCACACATTGCACTAAACCATAATATGCTTTGATTATCTATAACTTAGCATGCTGGCCTGATTTAGCTATTATGCAAAGTAAGATATGAATCCAGCCAATTCTGATTTTCTCACTAAATCATAGTTAACCAAACCACAGCTTCACACAAGTCTAAACCACACCAAAGTCTGCCAAGCAAATTGAATATGCCTTTAAAAAATTATTTACTTTTTTTCAGAAGGGACATTACCATTATGAAGCATAGACAGCATCTATAATGTTTAACTCTGATTCTGTGTGTCACATAATACCTCAGAAATCCATTTTAAACCAAGTGGTTTTCAGTGTAGTTAAATATCTAAGCTATCGTGACAATGTTTAAGTAAGTATTGAAAAATACATCCTCAATCAACACTATTTTATAGTCTTAATAATAAATAGAAAGTGAGTGATGGTGGTAGGGAATTCCTGAAAACCTTATAAAGGACAATGTTGGAAGGAACATGGAAATAACATTCCAAATTTGTTTTCAAGGCTGGTTTTCCGGAAGTAACACCAGCTTTTTTTGGATCAGTTAATGTAAAAAGCCTTACAGACAAGGTAACAGAATCATCTTACTGCACCTGCTGTTATAAATCAATGTGATATGAGGAAATGACAGGGTAACTCAAGGCCAAAACCTTTTATTCTACACGCATTAACTTAAATTATGTACTAAGTAATTGCCATTTCTACCCTCTCTATAGTAAAATCAATTTGCCTCAATGAGTGAAGTCCACCAATTTCTGTAACAAATCCTGTCCTCACAGCGTTGGGTGTGAGCCCTAATGTGATTTTAAAAATTGCCATGAAATACTAATTTTTCATGATCAGATTTGAGGTGCAAAAATTTAGACCACCACAAGAAGGCAGAAACAAGATTTAGACAAGTCTACTTTTTGCCATCATCTAGTAGTGTGATACTGTCCTTGCTTATCTGTCTCAGACAAAGTGTTAAATAGGGCTGAGCATTCTTTTAAAATAATTTGGAAGGAGTGTTTCAGGCCCTGTGCAAC